AATTTTGGGGGTCTTTGGGCTGGCACGTCGGTTCTCCACAATTATTTTTACGGTATTAGGTTATAGGTATGCACAGATGAATAAAGGGAGTAAGTTTCAAAAGAACTGTGTCGTTGCGTTGGTGATGGAGTGAACGGGACTCCTTTCATTGGGGATTCCATACCACACCTGTAATGCCACAAAGGTTGCTAGAGAGACTACTGTTTTGTTTTGTTTTGTTTTTTTTTTTTTTACAAAGACACGGAGCTATTACCGGAGCCAAGTGATCCATAAAGTCACTGTAGCACTCATTTTATCACCACGTAATAAGATTCCATGAACGACGTTTTAACTCCAATATTGGCCTTGCTATGGGGCGTGGAATGTAGAAGGCGCTTGTGCTGCACTGGGGCTCTATTTCCGTTAGCTTGATCCTTTAAAGAGAAATCCAAAGTTTTTTTGAAAATCAACAACGACAATGAACAATTTTAAAAAGCAGGAGAGAAGACAGCATATGAGCGTGACTAGTGAAAATTGTCTGCTCGATAATAAAAATGAAGTTAATTTCGAGTCCCACACACGACAATGACACAACAAGCAGAATTAATTAAAATAGATTTTGATGAATTTTAAGTGTGAGTCTAAATGCTGCATCCATAGGCGTACGGGCAGGGGGGGCGAGGGGGGCTGCAGCCCCCCCAAAGTTTGGGCAACTCAGATTTTTTGGGCAGCGCGAGGAAATTTGGGCAAAGCCAGTTTTAAAGGACTTCTCCATGTTCATTTAATTATTTTAAAGACCTGAATATTAACCTGAAGTATGCGTAATAATCCAGTTACATTACAGTGGTTGCTTAGCATGTGATGAGTAATTTACATATTTGCAGTTTTTTTTTTTTTTTGATGGGCACTATACTGCACTGCACTAGCTGGAATGGGCTATTTCCAGTCGAGAATTGATTAAAATAAACTTTCGCATAACTTTCTAGAATCATCTTCACTCGAAGAACAGTGTATGGCAGATAGCAAATAGCAATGGGTATTGCCTGAATAGCAAGCGTTTCCGCACGATTTCGACTGAAAACGCTTCAATGGGTATGAAAATAAAGAAGTATGGCTGACTAATTTTCAGCTTGAATTACGAGAAAAATCTTAATTCTTTTAAAAACTCTATCGAGCGGTTTAAAATTATTCGCTGATTTGTTAAAGTAGACCGAAATGTTTACAAAACCGCTAACAAGAGTTTCTCGATACATACTAATTAAATCCTTCTTTCGATTCTAGCAATCAAGCACAGCTATCTCCACGATCTTTCACACATGTTTTTAAAAAGATTAAAACTACTATGAGGTGAAATTGCAGGACAGAAGCGCTTCGTTTTCTACAGATAATGGCCAAAAATCAAGATTTTCCTTTTCTTACCGTATTTCTACTAATAAAAACTTCATTGCAAAATATCTCCATAACGCTCTTTAGGTTTTGCTTAAATTTCACGAATATCGAGGGGACCGTATTGGAGAAAAAAGCTCCTGTGAACGATTTTGTAAGATTCCCGTGCCGAGAATCATTGCTGAAGTAAAATAGGTAATGGAGTCATTTCGTTGCTATGACAACTCCGATGTCATTGCAACCCTGATAATGCCAAATTTTCATCTTAATTCCACTGTTGTCGCAGTTTTTCCAAATGTTTGTTTATGGCGACGTAGTTTCTGCTCAGACTTGGTATTGACCCTGAAAACCTGTATCGAGCCACCTTCATATGCCAGGACGGCCTATGTTGTTGCAATATGGCCCTCATTTCTTTTCGACTCTTTCGTAAAAATTTGGGCAATTTAGGAGATTTTTTTGGGCAAATGGTTTACCGCCCCCCCTGGCAAAAAATTTCCCGTACGCCTATGGCTGCATCCAAATATCAAAATAGTTCATCCAATAATCAAAATCGAAATGCTTGATTCTACAGGTTTCGAGGAGTAAAGAGAAATATTGGTGTGTTAAATCACTATATTTGTCTCTCTAAATATCTAATAGTATTTTCTGCCTTAAAAATATTTTATTCCTGTTAAGTTTTGTTGCAAGAAAAATTCAGAACTTTTCAAGTTCCAACGAGGCTTTCTTCTCTAGATTATTTTGTATCACTGGTGAAGACCTACACAAAGAACGGAAACAGATCATTTATGGCGATAGTACTTGACGATATCTTCAATTTTGATTTCGCAACAAACCTGACCAAATATGGAATGCACAGAAAATGCGTATGATTCACGTTTAGTTGCTAATTCATCAAACCGCGCGAAGAGTTCTTTAAATTTCAGTCGATATGAATTCACCTCCGAGTAGATTAAAAAAAAAATCTACGCATAGCTTGGATCTAAAAAAACTAACTACGACGAGGTATCTGTACGTGTGCATATCGAAAGGAACATTTTTTTAAGACTTCAAGTTATAAAAGGACACCATTTGTCTGATGTAACCTTTGCATTTTTATCAATAAAAAGTGAATAGTGGAACAATGCAAGTTTTGGCGTACTAAGCTTTGGAAATGCGCCATATAAGTACGACATCATCATCACTCATGGTACTGAGTTGTTCTCAATAAACTCCAGGGAACTGTAATGGTAAAAAGCTAGTTGAAATTTATGGGTATGCTGTATTTTGTGACTTCAATCCAAGTTGTAAAAGAAAAAGATGATTTGTAAGTCTCCAAATAGTTGTCCTTTTCACGTCACCGTATAGCTGCTCCGAAATCAACGTGTTCTTTCACGGCTACCATCGAAGTTTTAACGCAAACTGTACTCTTTTTACCATAGTTTAATAAATTTATGGAAAAAAAAAATTGCCATCCCTGGCGATAACAAGCTTCGCGGTAGTATCGTGCGTGTGTGAGACATGGGGCGGGAGGATTCACTATTCACTTTGGCCCCGATTACTAGGGAATTCCCTAGGCTTCTCCCTCGATGAAAAAGTGAAAGCCCGTTCATCTTTTACTAGGGCGGCTTTGCAATGAGTTTGGGGGGTGAAATCACGCCTCCCTTGGGTGCAAGACATCGTGACAGTGGGGGATCAAGTATGGTGTGGGGAGCGCTTTTCCAGAACCCTGAAAAAAATTGTTATAGGCCCTTTACAACTTCACCTTTATACAAATTTACAAAGCAGTGTATGATTTATTGTATCGTTTCCTTGGTTCCACGGGGAGGGGGGTCAAACAGTGGAATGTCAGTTCCAACCTGCTTAAGTGTTTAACGCATGACTGATATACATTTATGCAGGTCACTAAAAACACTGAAAGTCTTTAAACGCGCTTTGGTATCCGATGGACACCTGTCCACCGGTGCGGCGGTGCTGTATTATTGTGAAACTGAAGGCTCTGTGGCTAGCAACGGAACCGTCAAGTAAGAAAAAAAAACAATAGAAAAACTGAACATTTTGTAATTTGTAGGTTCTTGGTTTCCTCCATTTAAAGTAACACAGGTTATAGAAGAGATAATATATAGAAAGAAACATGGAAGATACAGAAGATAGCTAGAAGGCTCAGTATAGTGGAACAATGCAAGTTATGGCGTACTAAGCTTTGGAAATGCGCCATATAAGTACGACATCATCATCATCATCATCATCATTGTCATTGTCATCGTCGTCATCATCATCATCATCATCAGAGTTAACACTTCTCTACTGATACAGTATAGCCAACTACAAAGCAAATTTACACTGTAAGGGTACACTTTCCAACCTGACCAGCAACAATAGCAACAGTGCTTTAACAGTTAAAGGGAAGAACTACAAGGTCTACTTTTTTAGGGAAAGAAATCATATCCACATGGCTCCTTTTATTCCTCTAAACTTACTGGGTATAATTTCATTTGGACAAAGAGGAAGGAAACTGAGCTTGGCATTTGAACCTGGAATCTTACCAGTCAACAGAATCTTTAAATAATAATCGTGCGACATGAAACTGAACAACAAGGCATGTTTTGACCTAACTGAACATGTTTCAATCCTGAGAGGGGTCTGAAGTCTGAATTTATGACCAAGGGGTTGGGATTTGACTACAGTTTTGACTTTTGCGGGTAATATGCAAAAAATGAACTGAAAAAATATGTTCGCGTGACCAATGTTGTAAAATAAGTTCATGTTCGCGTGACCAATGTTGCAAAATTAGTTTATGTTCGCGTGACAAACGTCATCGCCTACGACACACGCAGTTAGCGGGGGACATTAGAGACGCCCAGACAGCCGGCCATGATTACTCCATTTGGTACCGCGATAACCACAGCAATGGACTGAATCACTATTTATCGTCGTAATTAAGTAAAATGTCAGCCATCGAATACAATAATTTGCTTTTCAAAGTACGCCGGAGAGTTAACGAATTGAATGCCGTCGAGCAATTACTTTTCATGTGCAGGGGAAAGGTGGCGCCTCGGACCGAAGAGAACTTACAAGATGTAGTCTACTTGTTTGAAGAACTAGAAGAGAAGGAATATCTAGGACCTGACAAATTGGATATATTAAAGGATCTACTGGAAGGTTTAGAGGAATGGTCGCTATTGGAAAATGTTGAAAAGTTTGAGACCAAAAGAAGAGAATATGATGGGTTACTTGAGCAGATTATTCAGGCGCTCGACGAGCTAAATGATCTGGAACGACTCGTCTCTATATGCAAAGGAAAGATACCACACGACAGGCAAAGCAGCATCCACGACGTTCGATCTCTGTTTGAGGCGCTAAAAAACAACAACTGTCTCGGAGTTAACCATCTCAGCATCCTAAAGGCGATTTTGACCCAAACAGAGAAACGAGATTTGCTTGAGAAAGTAAACGAGTTTGAAGAACGAAGAACCCTTGAAAACAATTTTGAAAGACGAAAAGGTGATTACTGATCTATTGAAGCGTTGATATGCTATTTCTTTGGCTCTTTTAAAGTTTTACGTTCATTTTTTCCAATGCTTACGGTTTTCTGTAACGAAGTTTTGTCTGTTTTCTTTTAGCTCAAGCAGCGGCCATCGTGTCGTCGGCAAGAGGAGGTAAGATTCAATACAGTGACTATAAATTACGGAAGTGAGAGGGAATTCCAACAGATCCGGCTCTGGACTAGGTTTTTTAAAATAAAGGCTTTCAAAGAACAATGAAATTTAAGGCGGGTCATTTATGGCAAGCTAAGTAATCGATAGACTTTTTACAGTTTAGAGGTGGTTGCTCGAAATTATTAACATTTCATACTACGGATGACCCCATCGTGATATTTTGTTTTGCTAGGCGACTGTAGGCGAATGTATTTGGCCGTTCGTTTTATTGTAATATATGAGGCACTTCAACGAATAGCTTTTGCTTTTAAACTAAAGTTCAAGACAAATGCAGAGGTCGACAATGGCTGTTCAAATAATTCTTAAAATTGTGCCGAAAGCTATCATTTAATCAGTTAATTAATTCATGTTGTTTCGCATCCGTTTTCCTGACCTTCCAAACCTTGACATGCAATAAATTTGCAGGCGTTTTCTGGGGCTTCAATGTCACTTTATAACTGGCAAACGTTTTGTCGCATCGATCCAGGTATTCTTGCAACAAATTCAGTTTCATTTTCAGCCATAATAAATAATGCCATCAATAGCTGGATTGAATAAAATAATAATCTGTTGCACCCATTTATTACAGGTAAGAACCCATTCTGCTCCTGCGTTTTTCATTTTCAGTAAATAAAGACGAAGGAAAATGCAGTAATCAGTTGTTTATTTTACCCATCTCTAGTGTTATCGGTAAGGTAGAGACTGTTTACAGCAATAAAGGGTAAAAGAGTGACGTCATCAAGGACGTTACAAGCAAAGCGCAAGATAGCTCAAGATGTATACCGCTCAGACGGGCAAATTATGTTATAATGTCATCAATATCGATTACATGCTTGTGCTTGTGTAAGTGCAGAATTGCAAGAGAGCTCAATCTCTCGTCTGTCATGCTCCTTAGTAAAGGAGTTTGCAGTCTCTGCTGAAGCTACGCTCGGCTGTGCATGTTGACACACCTGCACAGCTGGGATAAGTCAACAAAGTTATGAGAGCTATATTTTACTCCTGGATAGAATTGGAGTTGGCTTGGTCAAAAGTCTCAACCACGGTCTGTGGCTTCACATTCGGATCCATTTCACTCAGTAAAAGGATAAAGGAAATCCTAACACCAAAACACCAATATAATGCAAAATATTTATCCCGATTTAATGATAAAAATGCGGCTTTCAGGAAACAAAAAAAAATCTATATATTTTTTCCAGATTTTAGCTGTATATGCATAATTTCAACCCCCCCCACATTTTGTGCATTTTCAAAACTAACCCCCCAAAATCAAGTCTCTTAAAAAATTGCACCGCACCCCCGGACGTAATAAACGATCGGTCCCTAAGTGAAGAATAAATGTTCTTATTACTCACAGAGACTTTAAAAGTAGCATAGTCCCTATGCGTTGAACCCGCCGGGTTGGAAACTTTCGTCAAATGCATATTCCTAGACCTTCTTGATTAGCAAGCATACTCGGTTTAGGTCTTGAACTTTAATCTTTTCGCGGATACGGGTACTATCTTATACTGTCTTGGCACAGTGTAAGTGCTGATGGATTAGATCCCCATTTTTCCCTTCCCTTGCTCTCTGATGGGGTTCCAATTAATTTAACGTTTTTTAGTCTGAGATGGGTGTTGGATTAGTGTGTATGCATATCCAAATTATTTGTAGGTCATTTTAAATATCTCAAATATAACGGATTTTTGAGTTTTGTGTTGAGAAAACTTAATAAAACAAACACATTCTTTTGTATAAACTCTCCTGTGCTGAAAAGGTGTGTTATGATCATGCATATCCAAATTATTTATACTAGGTCATTTTAAATATCTCAAATATAACGGATTTTTGAGTTTTGTGTTGAGAAAACTTAATGAAACAAACACCTGTTTTATGTCTGGTAGTCAGAGATGGTGACTACACACCTTTGTCACCCATTATAAATTTATCACTTCAGTTAAAACTGCTACCAATTGAGTGAAACAATAATTATAAAAACCAATTAAAAAAACCGTGTAAATGACATAGCCTACACCAAAGAAGGTACGGATAGACAGAAATTAAGGAGTTCAAAATGGATTGTGATTGTAATTATGATTTTTGAAAATTTGTTAACCTTACAGTTTTTCAAAGTTCATTTTGTAATGGTTGATATAATGCTTGGGAGACATATTTGTTTGAGTTGAAGCAGCGTTTGGCCATTTGCAAGTCATTTCTTTGAAGGATAAGTGTCACGCAAACGCTAAAAACACGTAAGGACGGGTTAGGGGTGTCAGGGGAGACTTTTTTTTTCACCCTAACTACAGTGGTCATTGAGTTCATCAGTGTGCAACACAAATTTGGGTGGTATAGTGGCACTCAGTCAGTCATTCTCTTGACTAATTGTGAGCACCTATTTTTTTACCCTTAGTTCTGAATATCAAAACGGTGTTCAAAGTGGCTGCAGGAGGTTTAGTACTAACATCCGCCTATCAACTGCTGAGGCGTGGCTGCACATATGAACAGCTGCTCACAGCCGTTAATACCTGCGTCCTTCCTGCTGGCGCTAGACTGCTACAAATAGCTGAGGGGAGTGTGTACTTGAAAGTTCAAGCAGAAAGTCTTACAGCCATTGACCATTTGTGGAGATTGTACAAGAATGGGACGCTGAAAAAGCGCCTGCAAGCCTTATTTATTACTGATGAAATGAAAGACCTTGCTGGTGGAGGGCAAGTGGAAGTGACCGTGATCATCGACGAGGACGAATACGAGAAGTCCCGGAACGAGCTAGCAACTGTTGAAGCACAAGGTTACACACTCACAAAATACATATAAAAAACTTAGCTGGTCAACTTAAGAAACAAATTATCTGGAACTAAGTCTGTGGGCTCCTGTATAAGGTATAAGCTTTTTTTCAGTTAGTGTTGAGGTCAAAAAGTGGTCAGGTTAATCACCATCTTATTGGGTTGCCAAGCCTATAAGTGCCGATAGAAGTCCTTAACATGTACGGAATTTTAAAATTTTAAAAATTGTGACATTGATAGAGACTTCTTCAGTGCTAAACTGCTTCAAGGTAGCGGTTCTGAACAATATTGTTTGTTCTTGTTCTTTACCTTAACATTTTTAGCCCCTGCCATTGATAGTCTTAACCTTAAAAGCCCACTCCAAAACAATAATATCTTGTATTTACATTCTCACTCTCACGGATTTAATTTTACGATAAGTGTCATTGACATCAGTATTATTTTTGATACTACATTGATTTCAGATGAACCTGATGGTGATGAAGGAAGGCGACTTCAATACCTTTCTCAAGAAAAATTCTCCTACATAACGAATTACATAGAACAAACCAGGGATACAGATGTACATAGTGTATCTACAGACGACGACAGTGGGAAGCCTGGATCGAGTAGCGCACCATCTGAACTTGGATTTGAAGATACCAGCGGTATGACTGTGAATTCACTAGTCAATAAGAATTCCAGGCACGCCCAAGCCCCCCTCCCTCCCGGCCATTTGTCAAGTTGCACGTTTTCACTGCGGGCATTTGTCTTGAAGGTTCTGCTTGGAAGTTATGAAATGGCGGCCATGTTGTGTACTGAAAAAATCCAGTGTAGATTGAGTTCTTTTCTCATGTAAAACTTTCTTCTGTTCCAACAAATTTGCAGAGCTGCTAACCACTTATGAAAACGATCTGAGCCAGTTTCGATTTTTAAAAATTTATACTTGGCTACGCAGGTGAGGGATAAGAAATAAAAGAAATCAGCTATTTGAAAAACAGTGATAAATAATCGATCCTTTTGTTTAATTCCTCTTAGCCTCGGAGTGCATTATGGGAATTTTGATAATGTTCATGGTTTGCTCTAGCAGGCGCGGAGCTGAAATAAAAACAGAGCTCAAGTGAAGAGTGTCCCTTTAAAGGCAATGATTATCTTCTCACAGTCCCCTGGGTTCATATTCCTGAAGTCAGTTCATACTAATGTTATTGACCGTTTCGTTATTTCAAATCAATAGTCATTTATTTTATGCCAGTGAAGTCAATAATCCATAATCAAATTTTTTGTCGTGTATTTGTAGATTCCACCTCCAAATTGTGCTTGAAAGACCTAAGTAAAGAAGTGACTGAGGAACTAACGTCCAGGCTTAATAGCAACGAATATGTTCTAAACCAATTTTACCGGTCTTTTGGGCTTGATCCTGTTTTACTACACCACGGTCGCGACCGGCGGGACATTCTAAGTATTTTTCCTGATACCCCAGTCAAACTGCTAAATGAAGTTTTTGAGGCGCTAAAACTGTATGACTTTGCAGAATTCTTAGAAAAGGCAACAAAACCACGGACACTTCGCCCTGCTTTTCCGCTAAAAGAAATAGAAAAGTTATCGAAAGCCAACCGCCCTATAAAGGTCTACAGTAAAGTGGAGGTTTTGATGATCGACTTCTGTGAAGCCAATGAACCTACTGTAGGCAACGATGCGGCGGCAAAAGTCGGATCTTTTTTTAAAACTCTGGATTCCCAGAACGAAATAACTTCGTTGACCTTAAAAATTTCAGCGGAATTGTCGGAAGATCTTGAAACCTTGATGATGTGCAAGAGAGAAGAAGAAAGAGATGAAACAATAGCAGAAAAGAGGGAAGCGGACTGGTTTGGTAAAAAACAGCTTAGAAAATGGTATGGAAGAAGAGCACAAATGGAGAGGTCGTATGGTGTAATGGAGCATGACGAGCGCGAGGTGGGAATACAAAACAAAAAGCCCGAGCAAAGATTCGTCTCTAACACGGATGAGGAACTACTGAGTGAGTTCCGCAAAGAGGAACCTGCAATGACAAATGAGGTTAAAATGCTGACAGAAAAGAGAGATCAATGGAAGATGGAAAGGAAGCGATTGATCGAGAGGCAGATAAAGCAGAAGGAGGAAGAAATAAAAAAAGAGATTGAGAAATTTGAAATGGTTCTTTCAACCGTCATCGACAAATGGAGAGACCTGCAAGCAAACGATGAAGGTTGGATATTATTACTAGTAATTAATAATTGCAAATTAGGGGAGTGTGTTCGATGGGCGAGGGGGGGGTAGTGGGTTGTGAGTGGTAGTGGGAAGGGGGTGCAAAACCTACTGTGGCCCAGAAGGGTCACACATGCAAATTAGAAATGTTGCTGCAAATTAAAAATAGTACATGCAAATTAAAAATAGTATATGCAATTTAAAAATTGCACATGCAAACTAAAAATATTACCTGCAAATTAAATATAGTACCATGCAAACTAAAAATTGTGCTGCAAATTGAAAATAGAGAACATATCGATGCAAATTAAAAATGAAAAGTCCTGCGCGCGCAGTATGAGTGATGAGGACCTGGTCCGAGCCGTGCGACCTGGCCTTACAGCCGTCGGCCCATTCATGTTTCATGTTTGTAATATTTCTAGTTTGAATGTACAATTTTTAATTTGCATGTCCCATTTTTAATTTACAGGTAAAATGTGTAGTTTGCAGCAACATTTTTAATTTGCATGTGTGACCCTTCTGGACCACCGTAAAAACCTGATGGGCTTGTAACATTGAGAAATCAAAATCAAACGCTTTTATCAATATGAATATCAGCAGCTGTCTTTATCAGTGTTATTGTTTATCCTCCCACTTAACAATTCGTTACTACTTCATTTTTCCTCAAAAATGCAAGATTTTACATTTACTTGGCTAAACCTCTAAGTAAAGTACATGTAATGGGTCAAACACCGACTATGATCCTCAGGACATTCTTTTGCACTGTAGGATGGTCAATAAAATTGGCTAAAAAGTGGGACACAGAAAATTAAAGTCATCTGAAAAGTTTGCGTGACACTAGGCTAACACGACTCACCTACTTAGCACTGTTTTCAAAATACAGCGCACCCGGTATTAGTGATATAAAAAGGTCAACGTTTCACTATTCAACTTCTTGTATATTTTTCAAAAATGGTGACAAACAAAAGCAAACACAACGCTGCGAATAGCTTTGAAAAGCGAAAAGATGTAATTTGTAATAGAACAAGAACGCTCTTAGTAGCGTTGAGTCTCGCTTGCTCGGATATGAGTTTTGTTGTCAAAGGCCCCGGTGCTGTTATACTTCTTTTTCGTTTGGAATACAAAACGAGCGTTGTATGTAAAAATGTATATACTCAAAAAGTAAAAATTGCAAGGAGAGACAGGCCGTACATCTTAGCCTCAAACCAGTGTGAAACCTTTGAAAACCTTCTACATATTGATATTGCTCCATTGAGGAGTACTCTTTCAGGGATTTTACACTCGAAAAATTGAACGATGATTTTTATCGGTATCAGGGGCCCATGACTCTGTCAGTATAAATATACATAGCTTCTTTGTACCGGACCAAGATACGGCTCGGTACAGTATATGTTCAGCACAGGAAAAAAGTGTAAGTTTAATAGAACCTTATACAACACACAGTTAATTCAGTTCGCGCGTATTCCTGCTGAATTTGTTGTCCGTTTTACAAGATAGCAATATCGCGTGAAAGTAATGACATTTTCCATAGCTGCTTAGTATCTACTTTTAATATCTCCGTACAGTCTCAGAGTACAATGTTTAGAGTTGTACACAGCATGCATTTTAGATAGATCAGTTCTTCCAAAATAATCAACACTTTCAAGCCATAGAATTCTTGGACTAACCCGTTCCAGAAAAGCTCGATATGGGATTTCTATCCTATGGACATGAAGTGCTGCAAGTAGAGTGTGCGGTTAGTCAAGTTCAAAGCTACTCGTATAAACACATCCGTGACACGTTAGGGTGGATTTCCACTGATGCGTTTTTGGCTCCGTACGTTAACGCATGTAAATTTTAATCACGTAAATCAAATAGAGGTAAGACATAAAGTATTGAGATTAAACGTCAAATTAAGCGAGTTTCTACTTTTACGCTTACATAATTGTACGTGCGGCCTTTCATGCACTGCCTTTATTTTATTTGCGAACGCAAATGTCACGCACGTGCGCACGTAAAAATTACGTGACCGTGGATACTTGATAACTCAAGTATTTATGAACTGCAACACGACTTCACACCTTAACAACTGCGAAAATCTATCAATTAAATACATAAAACAAAGTGAATCTATTTAACCGTACATTTCCTGTAATTGCGACAATATTCTGAGAAACGTAACGCCTTAAAAATCCACAAAATTCTGAGGATTTCCCCGCTATAATATTTTCTCATCCTGCTTGGGGATATTTCCTTTTTAAAGTGCCTGCTTGTCGTGCATAATTACACGAAAATCAAGGGCCTCCATTCGAGGAAAATTACATCATTGCCAAACTTACATGCGTCATTTCAGTCATCGCCGAAAATAAACCGCATTCTCATCACGAGAACTCATTTCCATACAATGAAAGTCGTCACGATTCTTATCCCCAGTTTCCACGGTCATCGCTAGGAACACGGGGCCTACAAACTAGGTCCCACCGACAAAAAAAAAAACGACTGCATTTTGAGAGTCTCCCTCTGCTTAAGCAAGCTCGACGAATTAAATCTGGTCGATCTAAGCTGATCTCGCTTGAATTCATAAAAACAAATACAGTGTGCAGAACACATTGTTAACATAACATCCACATATCCGATTATTTTAGAATGGAAGTTTTCTTATATATATAAAAAAAAAAATTGAAAACTGTGAGAAAAACTATAAACAAACCTGTAGTAAACAGAAAATTGCCATCGTTTCATCTGCGAACGAGAGTCAAAAAATAGGTACCAGCTTCCGGGCGAGAAAAACTGAACACATGAGATCGAGGCAAAATGTGCCAGACCGGTTCAAGATGGCGTCAAACGCGTGAAATCTTATGGCATACGGAACGGTTAGTACATCATGTACGGTAAAGGAATAGTAAGCGTTCTCCTTCGTCGAGCGCAATAAACCTTGAAACACAACTATAATGAATTTTATATAAAGCACTTGTCACTGGGAACCCCACACTCGACAGGACAATGCCCGACATACTGAGAACATAATTATTTACTGGCAAAGCCCCTATCAAATGATGATTGACACAAAAACATTATAGCTGTGAACACTTTCAAAGCCTGTTCATACAGTTGTTTTAAGCCGCCAGCTGGATGGCGGGTTTGGCTGAACGACAACAAAAGTATACTGACGATGCTATAGGAATAGGTTACTGGCCTGCGTGTATTGGCAGCTAATCATTGCGGTTTATATTCTTTGTCCGATGTAGAGGCTTCAGATGAGTTTTCAGCGAATGGCCTGGCCATTGCCTAGTTTCGATCGATTGGGGATGGGTACGAGTCAGTTTATTTAAAAGGACAGATTCACGGTTCAGCGCATGCTCGTTAATCAAAATGCTATTTTTCTGCCGGGACATGCTGTATCGTCTATGAAAGCAATATGATCATGTCATATTGTTGTCAAAGAACCAATCTGCACACTCCCCTGGCAGTCACTTGATCAACTTAGGTGCAAATAGCTGTAAATTAATCAACCATGGAATAAAACCCTGGGGTCAGCAATAAATTCAACGTTGGCAGTGTTGGCATAATCCACTAAATTTTCTGCGATTTTAGTGCTCCTCCATCCCACTTCAGGTTACTCTGAAATACACTTCTAATTAACAATTATTCCACGAGGGCGCGTTGGATATGAGATGATAGATAGCCAACGAGGCGCATAGCGCCGAGTTGGCTATAATCATTTCATATCCAACAAGCCCGAGTGGAATAATTGTTTTATTAAAAACGCCCACAAAATCTCGTTGAATCGCCCCGACTAGAACAAACCGGAAAAGACAAGGGACTTCCGCTATTCACATGTCACACGTCTATCAAAACTGTCAACGTGTGAACGGACTCGCCTAGACTGCATGAATGAAAAATCAAAACATTGTAGCGATGAACATTAGTTTTTTAAAAAACTCATCGTGATTCTAGGATTTTACACAGCAGAACAGCTTAAAAAACCTGGCAGATAATGTGAAGGAAAGGAATTTTTAAGTGACAGCTGTCGAAATTACTATGAATTAGGATTTTCGGTGCGGTTATAAAAGTAAGAACAACGGAGAAAAACTACCGGTATTACCTCGGTCGCTTGTTATGAAGTTGTTTCAAGCCACAAGCTGGTTTTGCTGAACGAGAAAAGAAGCTATACTGCCGCCTCGATTGCTCTAGTGAATGCCTGCATAGCCTGTATTTGTAGCTGGTTACTTGTGATGTATATTCTTCATGTCGGATAAACAAGCTGCAGTCATCTATCGGCGAGTGACTCGATCGGCGAATGGCTTCGCGATCATGAAGAAACAACACTTGTCTTCTTTCGTAGCTGGTCAAGGTACTTTAGTTCCATGTGTTTTCATGTGTTTTTCGACAAACTTTCAAACAAGCTCTTGAGGCTTTTTTGTTTGTTTTTGTCTTTTTTCTTTCGTTGAAATTGCATTTCTAGTATTCTAAGAAATGAATTAAAACGATTTGCTTCGGGCGCCGTTCTATCCTTTGCGAAAAAAAATCTCGGCTAGCTTCCAATTTTAAACTGACGCGTACACCAACCATATATGGAGAACATGGTATATTAGCTCATATACCATAACGGCTAAGCCAATCAAAATGCTAGAATTGCATTATCCAATGATTCAGTTTTTAATAATTTGAAATACACTCTGAGATCGCTGAGATACATGTGAATGGGATTATTAACCGATAGAATTAATAATAAATTGGAAAAAAGTAATTTAATTAATGAGCATACGCTGAACCGTGAACCTGCCCCTTTAACAATTAATGAATGAGGTTGAGTATCTTTTGAAGAATTATGGAGATCGAGGAGGGTGTTATCGCGGATGACACACTCCGAGATGTCCATAATTCTTCATATGATACGAAAGCCGAATTCTATAATTGTTTTATTATTCATTCAAAATAATTCCTAGTTTAAAAACATAGCTTAAATATTCTTACCTCCGTCGATGTTAAGTTCATCTTCGGTAGTGCACGTTTAAGGT